ATTGTCCGTCACTATCTCTGTCTGCAATTCAATTCCATTGTTGCCGTCACTTCTTGGCGGTCATATATACAAGAATACCGCACATCTAGTAAACACTCGAGGCTTCACGAAGGGACATAAATGTTCTAGAAGCTCATGACGTGTTACTAGCGTCACGTGACTTCCGCTGTCGTAACAATATACATTATCTTCTATAGGAAATAAAGAAAGCAACTAGAATAAGGCAATATCAATGTCTTTCTGGACCATGTGTTTATGTTAACACTGCATGCAAACTAAATAAGCGAGTTTTTTAAATTCCTTTATAACTAAAGCTGGTAGAAAACGTGATATTCCTGCATATCACACTTTTCCTTCCTTCCCTGTTTCAGGCTTTAACTCAAGTCGAAAATTAAAAATACCTTTAAAACCCTTAAATAACCCTTAAATACACGACATGGCCAAGAACAAGAACAAACAACATGGACAACACGACCCTTTAATGAAGATTTACAAATTACCAAAGCAAAAACCTTTAACAATAACTTACACTAAACTTTAACTTTAGCTTTAACTCTCATTAAACACAATATTTTAGCTGTAATAAAATGAAACATATAAAATAACACTTTAACTAAAATTTTTAAATGCAACAAAACAATAGTGAAAACCTTCAACTTTGATTTAAAAATACAATATAATACATTATATTGTTACGTATCTGCGTGTTTGATAATTTCCGGTATAAATTCTTTCCGAGGAACTTCAGCGATATAAGTCCTTTCTTGATTAAACCAGTTTATTCTTCCTCGACACAAACTTTTAACACACAGTAATTTCACAATCAATACCTTTCTCGTCACTACTGTTCGCTTCTTTAATTATATATCTATATCGCTGGCTTTCTTTGCCAGGCTTATATATTAAAAAAGAGGGCGTCTAGCAAGCACTCGGACATTCGCGAGGTCCCCCGATAATTTGAGAAACTCCAGCGCGCATGCTCCCAGCGTCACGCGACTTCCGCTGTCGTAACAATATTATACAAAAACACCCTTTAACGATGAAAAACAGATTATACTATTGTAGGCTATATTTTAATTCGGATGTTAGTTAGAGGACGCATGACGTTAAGATCAAGTAAAAATGTGAGAGTAGGCCTAGAAAATTTAAAATTTGACGTCACCAAAATTTAATAAATTCAGAGAATGTCGAGAGACGAGAATAAATTTCAAATACGAGAATCAGTGAGGTTTTTGAGTCAGTGTATTTTGCCTTCAGTTGGTATAGCAAGTAGTGGATCAGCCTGTTTTGTTTTCTGTTGGTAAAATACCAGTTTCAGCGAAGTATTTGAATCAATGTTATATATTGTGTATAATCAGTTATTTGATTGATCAGTTGTGAAATTATACATGTGAATTAATTTTCATGTTAGTTGTGGTACATTTAACATGGCATTTCCATTTGAACAGTGTTTGTAAACTTAGGCCAACAATAAGCTATAACAGTGTACAAGTGAAGAAGGCTTGAAGAAAGGTCAAGGAAGAAATGAAATAATTTTTTATTGTTATGTGGAAATTTGAATTATTTTTACCTATTAATTTTGAAAAAAAAAGGAAGAATACTGTTATAATAATACATTTAACATAAATAAAGGAACGTGGAAGTAAATAATCACATAATCTTAAACTGAAAA